GGGCCACCAAAACAGCCCCGGGACCACCCTGGGACCACCCTGGGGCCACCAAAACAGCCCTGGGACCACCCTGGGACCACCCTGGGGCAGCTCCGGCCGCGCCTTGCTCACGATGGGCTGGGCAAACACTGGGGAAACGTGGTCACCGTGAGCCCTGGGGCCACCAAAACAGCCCCGGGACCACCCTGGGACCACCCTGGGGCCACCAAAACAGCCCTGGGACCACCCTGGGACCACCCTGGGGCAGCTCCGGCCGCGCCTTGCTCACGATGGGCTGGGCAAACACTGGGGAAACGTGGTCACCGTGAGCCCTGGGGCCACCAAAACAGCCCCGGGACCACCCTGGGACCACCCTGGGGCCACCAAAACAGCCCTGGGACCACCCTGGGACCACCCTGGGGCAGCTCCGGCCGCGCCTTGCTCACGATGGGCTGGGCAAACACTGGGGAAACGTGGTCACCGTGAGCCCTGGGGCCACCAAAACAGCCCCGGGACCACCCTGGGACCACCCTGGGGCCACCAAAACAGCCCTGGGACTCCCCTGGGACCCCCCTGGGGCAGCTCCGGCCGCGCCTTGCTCACGATGGGCTGGGCAAACACTGGGGAAACGTGGCCACCGTGAGCCCTGGGGCCACCAAAACAGCCCCGGGACCACCCTGGGACCACCCTGGGGCCACCTAAACACCCCTGGGACCACTCTGGGACCACCCTGGGACCACCTAAACACCCCTGGGGCAGCTCCGGCCGTGCCTTTCTCACGATGGGCTGGGTGAACACTGGGGAAACGTGGTCACCGTGAGCCCTGAGGCCACCAAAACAGCCCTGAGACCACCAGAATGACCTGCAGGACACACCCAGGGCCACCAGCACCATCCTGGGACCACTCCCAGGGCCACCAGGACCATAGAATGACCTGCAGGACCCGCCTAGGGCCACCAGAATGACCTGCAGGACCCGCCTAGGGCCACCAGAATGACCTGCAGGACCCGCCCGTGGCCACCACGCTCACCTGCCAGCCTCTTCATCCAGGAGGCCTCGTCGATGCCCAGGTTGTTGACCACGATGCGCAGGATGTGGCCCAGCAGGGCGTTGAGGTGCTGGCCGGTGACGTCGGTGGCCCAGGGGCCCTGGGGGGCGGCGTCGGGGCCGCGCTCCCACCAGCGGGGCAGGTAGTGGCACAGCATGGGCAGCGTCACCTCGATGACGTGCGGCATCTCCGTGTAGCGCGCCCCCGAGTCCGCCAGGCCGCCGATGTCACCCATGAGGCGCTCCAGGTCCGGCAGGTCGGGACACAGCTCCTCGACCCGCGAGGGG